CATCTTGCATAACTCAGAACATTACGAAGTGATTAGGCGGTCGGATCCTGGGCTCGATGAACGCCGCGCGAGGACACGTGTAAGACGCGATTCAAGTTGCGCACTTACACATATCCCCGTGCGTCGACTCAACGGGACCATCAATCCGTCCGATTGAGAGCGGCCATCCCGAAATCCGCAACGGGACAATCATCCCGCACAAGCACGCGTAAGTCCGACGACAGTCACGCGGCCTGCACGTGCTCGCACGTGGCGACCGTGAACTGTCCTTAAGCAACTCACAATATCGCAATGTCATGATGACGTGATCCTGGGATTTCGACTCATCCTACGACCCAGATTACTTCACCCCTTTGATAAACGAACTCCTTCAACAGAGATACCCCTGCCACACCGAAAATCGACTGTGTCCTCGGGAGTTCCACTGTGCGACCTCTAGCGACCCCCGATGCTCTGATTTCCCTTCTCCCGACCACACCTACTACTTCATCCACCCGGGATTTGTCGTCATCACCACCAGTTTCCCTCCTTTTCGCCTTCTTCTCCCGTATCATCAACTCAGCGTCGTTCCGTGGCCGGCCATAGCCCCCTATTGGCCCAACACGCCCTGCGGAAATTGTCGACGTGGTGGCGAACGAAGAACCCCGGAATTTTGAAGGCCCAATCCACACACGCAGCGGCCTGCGCCACGTGGCGGCCCCCGACGGCCCAACTTTTCAGGACCACCTCCTCCGCAAAGGGACTTCCCCGTAAGTCGTCGCCCACAGTACCCAGGCCCCATCGGGCCTTGAGTCCCTTGCGCACGCGCCCCTTATTCGCCTAATTGCATTCACACCCCTGAGACTTCCCCACTTTCCCCAAAAATCCTTGGCACACCCCTTTTCGCACTTCCAGGCCCCCATCCCACTCCGATCAGGAAGTCGTGCTGGGCGTGAGGTTGGGCGTCACAGGGGGAGTCTGGAGCGGGTCGGTTGTGCTGTGGGTGGGAAGCTGAAAGGGTGGTGGGTGCAGAGGGTGTTGAATGGAGACCAAGGGAGGTGAGCACAACAGTCTTGACAGTGGGGGGGGGTTGTGCATTGTGGTTGGGAGGGGGGACAGGTGCTGATTTACTGAATATTGTTGGTGGGTTTGGGGGAGACGAGGTGTGTTTTGGAGAGGGGAGTGTATGGTGAGACTGTGAGTGGCGGGTGGGGGGTGTGGCAACGGTTGCATTTGCTGGTGTTGGGCGTAGGGAATACCAACTGGCTGAGAGGACGTGGCGGTTGGGTGAATACGAGAGAGGGTAGTGATTGGCGAGGAAGCAGGGAGAGGGGCTGGGACAGTGGCCAAGGACTAAGTTGTACTGACTTGAAGAGCTGGGGGGGGTGCAGATGCTTGTCGAGACAGCGATAGGGGGCGGGGTGCTGGGGTCGATGTAGGAGGTGTAGGTGCTCGAGGTGGAGGTCTTGGAAGAGTCCCGGCTTGTGCTGATGAAGTTGGGGGATTGCGTCCTCCTCGACCACTTGGTCCCCGACCGCGGCCCCTGCCCCGGCCCTGACGACCGGTGGGTAGGGGTTCGTGGAATCTTGGACAGTCTGGGTCGAAGTCATCATGATACCACCATAGACACTTCCTGCAAAAGGGAGTGTCTTGATTGGCCAGCTGGATCTGAAGCTCCTGGTCGTTGGGCCTACGGAGGACTATCCACTCCATAAAGGTGTCTCGTGCAGATGGCTGACAGTCAATTCTGACGTTTCCTAGTCGAGGTTCGTCGTCCCTCCTCTCGGGTGGGAGCATCTCTATGATTTTCAATCGCATGGCGGACTGAAAACATCGCATTTAGAGGAACTCGCAGGGCTATGATTCTGTACTTGCCTTCTCCCTCCCGGTCCCTTGTTTGATCCAATTCTTGCTGTGTCCTTGACACGAGGGAATGGTATCTTGCCCCTTGTGCATAAGGTATTCAGCTATCCTTTGCGAGCGTGCCACGTAGGACATAACGTTGGGACCCTCTCCGTGTGTACGGCCCCGTCGTTGCGACGGGTTGAAGTTTATGTCCTGGTACCAGGCATCCTCATAGATGCGAATGAATTGCTCTCGCTGAGCAATGGACAGCATTGCACCTCTGGTTTGGAAAATCACGATCACAGTTCTGGCTTTCAACCAGGTTACTGTTGCGGTGTCGATTTGCTCATTGATATTGAGGTGACCAATACCGTCAATAATCTCAACTTTCCCGTGGGAAATAGAGGTATCAGGGAAGACTCCGTCGCCATAGCAACTGTCGAGAAGGGTTTGAATTCTGGCACGATCTGCCTCTGAGATAGGCTGAGGGGGTGGGGGGAGGGGTTGACGATTGACTAGTTGGATGGCCAGAGTGTTGACCCGTGTCCGGTGTGGCCATGACTGGATGTGGGAGAGATGCAGAAGAATCTCAGGGGTACTACCTAACGAAGAGGAGAAGACTTAGTGAAGGCTAAGCCCGGTGAGAGTCCTGGAGGGATCAGGGAAGGATAAGTATGTGGAGTGGTGGGTGGTGGCATTGGACGGGGATTATTATGTGGATCTATTTGGCTGGCTTTGTGTGCGGGGACGTTGGGTAGGAGAGACTGAAGGGGTGGGAAAGGCAACGTAGAGTTTCAGGGTGATAGGTTAGGTTACATTGACGTTGGCTGAGTGATTGGAGGGGTAGACTTGTGAATAGATTTGTAGGGGAGGGGTAGAAGGGATGTATATAATGACCAAAGAAGGTATGGGTGTGGATGGGGAATAAGGTTGACCAGGACCAATGGTAGTACATAGGAGGGGGGCCAGATCACGGGGAGAGGGAGAGATTTTGTGAGCACATTTGTGGAGAATTGGGATCGGATATATAGCGCTGCCCTGTGTTTAGAAGCGCGATAAGAAGGCGGTCAACGGGAATTACGAGCTCTCCGAGTCATGGTCTAGAGAACAATCAAGATGTCGAAGTTTAGTCGGGATCCAGGTCATATAGTTTGTTTTGGATTTTCGAAGAGAAGGAGCTACGACAGGTTTGCGGGAGAGAATTATCTAACTGGATTATCAGGAGTGGTAAGTGGTATTGTTGGTTCTGAGTGGGGAGTAAGCGGACAAGGAGGTAAGGCGTTGAGTTATGAGAGGTGAGCAATTGGGGTGGGGTGCCGAAGGAGGAGCCACGAGGAGGGGAATCGGAGGAGTGTGATATGAAAATAGGCCGTAGGAATTTTGGCGGGAAGGTCCGGGTTAAACTGTGGTGGTCAGAATTACGGACAACTAGGGAGGAAGAGTGGGTTTGACAGGCAAAGGTCAAGAGTTAGGGTTAGCCAAGCTGACTAAGGATGGGTCCTTGGATCGCATCAAGACAGGGCGTACGATGACGCCGTGCCAAATACACTTAGAACACATTAGCTGACGAAAGAACGAAGTAATTTCTGACGTGCTGACTCGCCTCCATGCCTCCTTACCTGCACAGGTACGTTGGCGCAGCAGTGCTGGGCGAGGTGTTGGGCGATGGCCACTTCCCCTGGATTCGCTCCACGCTGGTGGGTAGCACGACCGGCTCTCCGGAACCGGTGATGTAACGGCAGAACGCCTCCCGCAATTGCCCCTCTCAGCCAAGTAGTTGTGGTTTACTGTGGCCCCACGAGCCACGTATCAGATATTCAACTCATCAGGGCGGAGATACATTTCACTTGGTCTATTTTCAGTCAAAAGGCCGACACAGGTATCGCACGAGAATTCAGACAGGGAAAGGGGCAACTTGGCAATTTCGGGGTTTCAACACGTGGCAATCGCACGCGTGCCCTCCGGCGATGGACCGCTCTTTTTTTTCTTTTTTTTTTCCTTTCTATTTTTAGCCCCAATCCGTGAAACTGCACGAAACGGCACGGATCTTTCATAATCTATCCTCAGAAAGGGAAAACCCGGTGTGTACCTGGCACTAATTAGGGCCAGATTCATTCGAAATTGCACGAAACGGCGCGGCGCGGATGAGCTGGCCGTACGGATCGCGCTGGTACGCGAGCCACGTGTTACTCGGTTTTCGCGCGTCTGCGTGTTCCGATTGGTTCAGGTGGCTATCAACTGCTCGAAATTTTTCTTTGCTCAAATGCATTTGGCCGTAATTACGGCCAGGTACGTAACGTTTTTTCCGTATCTGACCGTACATTATGAAAGATTTAGATACATGCGGAATGAAGATCTTCAAGAAAAATCATGAAGAAGATGGATGGCCATGATTCGCCGCTGTTTGCTGCTGCCGCCGCCTCCCCGACGGCCGTCGCGAGAACAATGCCCGTATTACCGTCCAGATACATGTTGAATGAAGATCTCGAAGATGGACGGCCATGATTCTGCGCTGCTTGCTGCTGCCGCCGCCGCCGTCGGCTGCCAGCTCGTCGCTAAGGGCTGGAAGACGGGAGGGGCTTGGCTATATTCACTGCACCAGCTTTTCCACTGAATTTGGCCGTAATCAGGGTCAGGTACACTGGATTCTTCGTTCCCGACCTAAAATTATGTCAGGTCCGCGGTTAGATTCGAAGAGTCGGTTTTGAGCCGGGGGTTCTCGACTGAACTTGGCCGTAATCAGGGCCAGGCACATGGAAGGGTTCGCCCCGTTGTACCGCCGCCCGTCAGCCATCGCCAGAACTCGACGGAATTAGTAACATGTAGATGTTCATGAAACTTTTCGAATGAATGAATTTGGCCGCAGTTACGGTCAGTTGCAGGCGGGAAAAGCGCCTGGTGCGAGCATCTGCTTGCCCCTCCTTCTCTCCGCAATTCTGCCAACACCTCTAATTTGTCAGCATGTGGCTGATGGGCTGCTACTACCATCTTCCCCCGAACACAACGCACCCTCATCGTGACTGTATTGGACCGGAAAAGTAGTTTGAATACATTCTTGATGGCCGCGCATTCTATTCGGGGGAAGACTTCGATTGAGAGGCGGATCCTCCTATGCACGGAGAGAGCAACAACCGTCGCGATCTGATATGGTCGGGATCTGGAGGGATATAATTAATTCGACGGCCAAGATTAGTCCTGAAAATGTGCTATCATCAAGTACGTATGCTTTCATGTTTTTTTTCTTTTTTCTTTTCCTGAGTTAGAAAATTCCCAATACTATTATATCATATTGTGATATGCATGTCATTCCATGTGTTTTATTTTTATTTTTAATACCGTAATAATATATTCCACCTGGATTGGAATTAAACTCATGATGAGTTGTTAACTAACATCAGGGGCGAGGTCCCAACTAGCAAAGAGGATTGCATTGGAGGCCTGAATTGGACGTTATTTACCGAGAGATGCAGAAAACGAGGACTGTTTCGTCGGACTTTCACCTAATATATGAATATTATATAAATATTATATAAATAAAAGTGTAGTATCTTGGTCCATCGGACGACACTATGGAAAGAAAAAAGCAGATCAATCGCGATTTTCTGCCCCTCTCCAGAAACACGTCCAGATTCAGGCGTTGCATCCATAAAACAGGATTTATTTATTTATTTATTAATTTATTTGCGTCCCTTACGTCGAGGGGCATAAAAAAATAATAATAATAAAAAAATCCTATATTTATGTCGAGAAGAAAAGAAGAGACCTCCTTTATATATTCTTGTTTTTATCACTCCTTATGTCCTACTCACACACAAGTACCCTCTCATTTGCATCTGGACGTCATTACATCGAGGAAGGTACCTTGTGTGAGTGCGCCCTCACTTTAAGGGAGGAGGGCGCGATGGCCGACGGTAGACTTGCGATTTTTTATTTATTTTTAACGCCGTGGCATTGGGAATTTCGTGATTGCCACTCTTGGAATGCATCTGCGCACCTAGATGGCTAAGTGCATGATCTGTACTGGGATGTGGAGACTCCGAGGTGCACTCTGGCAGTGTCTCAATTAAATAATGGCAATCGCACAGACACAGAGAGAGAGAGAGAGAGAGAGAGAGAGAGAGAGAGAGAGAGAGAGAGATCCCTTCGTTCCTTTGCCTTCCCCGCGCACCCGCGCACAGAGAGAGAGAGAGAGAGAGAGAGAGAGAGAGAGAGAGAGAGAGAGAGAGAGAGAGAGATTTCCTTTCTCGAGTCAGCTGTGCACATTGCTACTCGTGCGTGCTCTGCTGAAAGAGGCGGAGCGGACACCCGCGCACGCCTATGCACAGCTGCTGTGCACAGACGCGCACAAGATGACAAGACCCCCAAATAGAACTGATGATCATCGTCACTATATCTGAACAGAATACACCACCTTTATATTCCTGATGCCTTCGCGTTCTATTCGGGGGATGTGAAATACGATAATTATGGGATAAGAGAAGGGAAGAATATGAAGCCAAGACAAATGAAGAATTTGTGAAGGGTATATTTTCTTTCTTCTGCCAATCTCACCTTTCACTACCTACCTACCACTACTCCTAAGGCTATACAGGGTACCCCTGCAAGCATGGCTACCTGTCACAGTGAAGGGGGTATTCCATGGTGCCCCTTGCTCTAGTGGTTTAGGGTGCAGGGTTGGGGCCGCCTGTGGGGGCGCGACTACCGCAAAGACTGGCCTTTTTTTTTTCTTTTTTTTTTTCTGGGGGGGACATTTTGCAACTACAGACGGGGAAAATTGCAAGACTGGGCTTTTTTTTTTTYTTTTTTTTTTTGGGGGGGGGKGTATTGCAGTCTTTAAAAAAAAAAGAAGAAGAAAATTGCAACCACACTCAAATAGACGCCCAGGGCTAGGTCCCACTTGCACGAGTTAAGAGATACTGACCGTAGATAGCAAAGATCAACGGCCGAAATCTCCTAATTTGCGCAAGTGGGACCTTGCCCCCGGTCTCTATAGCTGTATATGGACTGAAAATTGCACCAAATACGGCTAGAATGACTGGGCGTTCTATTCGAGTGAAGACCGTAGTAGTAGCTGTGCCTCCCTTTTGAGCTTACCCCACCCCCATCGAGTATCAGCAGTGCCTAAAGGCCAACACTCTCCCAGACCACACACAACCCACTCAGGGCAAGATTCCCCTGGCAAAGAGGATTGGAGTAAGTGTCCGTGTCTGAATCTGGATGAGTTTATGGAGAGGTGCAGAGAATTGTGATTGATCTGCTTTTCCGCATCTGTGTGGAATACGTCCAGATTCAGAGACTTATTCCAGTCTTCTTTTTGCTAGTGGGATCTGGCCTTCACACACACACACTCACTCTCCTGTTGGCTAAAGACCCTACTTTCTTTTTATTTTTTTTATTTTTTTTTTGTGCTAAAGACCCTACTAATACCGACCAGGGAGAGCAAGTGGACTCGTGCTGGCACCAAGGGTGCCTCCGCCGAATAGAGCAATCATCTGTAATGTACTAGTTTTCCATATTTAGAAATGTACTTTTCAGTATCCTCACCAATGGATGATGGAGAGCATTTTGTCTTAGGGCCAGATCCCACTAGCCCCTATTGTTCATTTCTGACCGCTGATCTTCCTAATCGAGGGTCAAAAATGAATAATCCAGCGTTGTGGGATCTGACCCTTCTTAGGTAAAAAGAAGAGCTTAGAAACCGCGGCCTACTGCTCCAGGTGATCACTGTGTACACAGTGACTGGCCTCTACAACACCATGGACTTCAAAAAAAAAAAAAAAAAAAGAGCTTAGAAACCAGATGAAAAGCCCTATGATCGGTATTAGCGGGGTCTATGACCAACACGGGTGTGAGTGTGAGCGCCAGTGGGTTGTGTGTGGTGTGTGGGAGAGTGTTGGCCATAGCCTCTGCTGCTACTCGATGAAGGGTGGGGGACGATGAGAAATGGAGGCACAGCTACTGGCAGGTCTCGGTCTTTGTGTTAGCCAGACCCCCACTGGTGGCCCCAACCCTATACCCTAACCATTAGGGGCAAGGGGCAACATGAAATCTCCCCTTCACAGAGAGAGGAAAACTATGCTTGCAGGGGTCCCCTCTAGATAGTCTTAGGAGTAGGTAATGGAAGGTAAAAGAAACAGAAGTTGAGAGAAGAGTGTAGAAAGAACGAAAAAAAAAAAAAAGAAAAGCCCTATGGCTGGACAACTCACAGAAATCTGTAGAATTGCAAATGTGCCCTCCAGGACATCCAGTACACTGGACATCTATCCAGGCAAAATGGGCAAAATGGGCAAAATGGGCAAAATGGGGTCACATACTATGCCCATTTTGCCTGGATGAATTTCCAGTGAAACGACGCCCTGGTACATCCTGCCCGATCCACGACCAGGATCCAACGCAAGGGTAGCCTAGCCCCCCCCCGTCCAACTGCAGCGGTCCGTACGCCAAGGAGACCCCATCACTCCCTTCCTCTTTATTATTATCATGGAGGCGCTAGTGGGTAATCTACAGGCTCATTGCAACGCTAGCAAGATACGGGTAACCTCCATCCCGGAGGAAGCAGTCCCTATCTGTTCCCTGTTTGCTGATGACCTGATGGTTGAGGCTACCCAAGAGAATATGCGCGAAATTCAGAATTGGGTGGACAAATTTTGTGCTTTGTCCACTCCAGCGAAGCCTCGGTGTCACGTCAGCAAGACTTGTCCGACTTCCCCATCAACGGCCAGCTACGCCACGTCAGTGATGGGGAGGGCTGCCCCC